TTTGTTGCCCAGGCTAGAGTGCAGTGGCGCTATCTCACTGGACTCTCTACCTCCTAGGTTCAAGCAATTCTCCTGTTTCAGTCTCCTGAGTAGTTGGGATTACAGGCACCCACCACCACGCCTGGCTAATTTTTGTATTTTTAGTAGAGACAGGGTTTCACCATGTTGGCCAGGCTGGTCTCGAACTCCTGACCTCATGTGATCCTCCTGCCTCGGCCTCCCAAAATGTTGGGATTACAGGCGTGAGCCACTGCGCACAGCCTAGATAGCCTTTAAAGAAATGTAAGTCACATCTACAAGGAGCTTGACTGAGTCCCAGTTACTCCTCCCCTCAACTCCAAGTTCTCTGGCCTCCTCAGCAGTCAGCAGAGTGTCTGTGTGTAACAAAGCTCAATGTACAAGGATGCCGAGGTTTGAATATGTCAATCAACTGCACCTTTTTTTCCCACCAAAGAGCAAAGCAGAAAAACACCTTCCTTATAAGAAAAATCACTGTCAGAAGAGGATGTACCTGGACCACATGGGTGCATTTCCATAGACCATTGCTTTTACTATACTGACAGTTTTTATTTTTCCATTTATTATTTTTGTAAGAGACAAGGCCTCACTATGCTGCCCAGGCTGGTCTCAAACTCCTGAACTCAAGCCATCCTCCCTCCTTGGCCTCCCAAAGTGCTGGGATAACAGGCATGGGCCACGGTGCCCGGCCCTGACACTTTTTTTGTGAGTCATCAGGCTACATGTATGAAGACTGAGAAGAATCTTACCGATTCTCTCAAGAGATACTATTTAGAATGCCACTCACTGTACCATAGCATTCTCTTTGGAGAACCCATGGGAGAATTCTCTGGCCTCAATAACAGAAACAGCTGTCTCCACTCAGCAGACATTTTCACTTTGTAAGTACTGGCAAAACTGATAAAAAAAAATTTCCCTCTGCTTTGGCTGCTACAAAGCTCAGGGCCAAATACACAATCTCACTTGAGTAAAATGCATAGGACAGAGAGGTACTTGCCTTTTTGTGCTAATCTCTCCCTTGACTTTCTCCTATTTTTTTTTTTTTTCACTCCATGTGCCTCAATTGCTTTTATTAAAAATCTTATTATATCAAAGTATCTTGGAACAATTCCTCGAATAGTTTTTTTTTTGAACAAGATAGAGAAATTGTTAAAACAAAAAATAGAAAAAAGCTCCTAAAGCCAAGATTTTATTCCAATACCATAAGAAAAAAAAACCCATTTACCCAATACTTCTACAAAGCAAATGTAGATACTCAGGTTAGTACTTCACTATCAAAGTGTGATCCAGCACCAGCAGCATCTGCATTACCTCAGGGCTTGTAGGGAATGCAGATTCTCAGGTCCTACCCCAGAACCTTGGAATGAGAACCTGCAGTTTAGCAGTATCTCCAGATAACTGGGTAAGCACAATGTTTCAGAAGCACTGGGTTGGTAAGTAAGGCTGTTTCAGCACCCTGAGAAGGAACAACTAAAATAGCTTTACAACCATTCCTTGGGTGCCTATATGCCAGTTACACACAAGAAAATTTACGGTCCTTGTCTTCAAGGCCTCTGCAAAAGGACATTAGAAAAGGCTTACACCTTGTGGCAGGTTTTTAATGGCTAATTATAGAATACCACAGCTGGAAGGGAGTCCTCAGAAATAATAATATTCCCTAGAAAGAATTTGAGATTCACGGTGGCTATGTTAAAAACAGAATCACAGACCTGAAATTCTCCTGTGCCAGTTACAGGTGAGAAGGGGAAAGGTATTTGTTCTGGAAACTGGAAATAATTTAAGATAAATTGGTATGCCAAGGGAGCTTACAGCTACAAGGAAATGTGCAACTTAACCTGTTTCCTGTAACCAGAAAGTGGTACAGGAAAACCTGGAAGTGACGCAGTGTCCCCCAAGGGTTGTATCTGACACCTCTAGCTGGCAGACAGGTCTAAAGCCAACAGGAACACTTCTTGGGCTTTTCACAATGTTTGTGAACAACATTAAAGACAGTAGTTTCTTCATGAGAACAAATTTAAGTTATAAGGAGAGTCCACCTCCATAAGCTCTGCTTCTATCTGGATGGATCAACCATGTAAAGATTTTCTGTCAGCCACACGAGGCCCCAATCTATTTAGCTCCTGTGATTTTACATGACCATTTCAGGTACCAGACCCCATTAAAAGTGTATCAGGTACAACTGTAACTCTTGGCCAAACTGCTATTTGGCACCGAATCAATCTTTAGCTGGTGGTGAGACTCCAGACACATAAACAGGTAATATTTTATGGAATACTTTCACTGTGGAAAGAGAATCAGCAAAGGCTAAAGGGATGTTTAAAAATCAGCCATCAGGCTGGGCACGGTGGCTCATGCCTGTAATTCCAGCACTTTGGGCGGCTGAGGTGGGCGGATCACCTGAGGTCAGGGGTTCAAGACCAGGCTGGTCAACATGGTGAAACCCTGTCTCTACAAAAAATACAAAAATTTGCGGGACATGGTGGTGGGCGCCTGTAACCCCAGCTACTTGGCAGGCTGAGGCAGGAGAACTGCTCGAACTCGGGAGGAGGAGGTTGCAGTGAGCTGAGATTGTGCCACTGCACTCCAGCCTGGCCAAGAAGAGTGAAACTCCCTCTCAAAAAAAGAAAAAAATCCACCATCAGATAATGGGCCAGGCACCGTGGCTCATGCCTGTAATCGCTTGAGCCCAAGAGTTCAAACCAGCCTGGGCAACATAGAGAGACATCATCTCTATAACAAAATAGAAAATTAGCTGGGCGTGGTGATGTGCACCTGTAATCCCAGCTACTTGGGAGGCTGAGGTGAGAGGGACTCTTGACTCCAGGAGGCTGCGGTCACAGTGAGTTGAGATCATGCCACTGCACTCCAGCCTGGGTGATGGAGTCAGACCCTGTCTCAAAAAAAGGGATCGGATAAGGACCAAAAAGCAGAGAGATCCTGAAAGGTCAAGTACTATACAGATATTTCATATTAGTGAGTGTATTCAAGTATCCATTTATTTTTCTCCTAACAACTGCTAACAGCTAACAGCTACAGATCGTTTTCTTTGTGCCAGGAACTATGGTAGGCACTTTACATTAATATCTTATTTAATCCTCATAACCCACCACATAGGTACTATTACTATTCCCATTTTCAGGATGAGGAAACCAAGACACAGAGAAGTTAAATAACTTAATGACATGCCTGTAATCCCAGCACTCTGGGAGGCAGAGGCAGGAGGATTGCTTGAGCCTAGGAGTTCATGACCAGCCTGGACAACATGGCAAGAATCCCATCACCATTAAAACAAACAAACAAACAAACAAACTTAATCAGAGTTAGTAACATGGCAGAGCTAAAGTCTGTTTGACTTAGAAAGCCTGAGCTTAGCTGCCTTCCTAACCTGTAAGAATAACTGGCTCAAGAAGTTAAATAAATATTTCTGTTGTGTCACCTTTGGGCTACCATGCTGATTTTGTTTCCTTTTGGCTTCCTTCCATCATTGAGTGCCTTTTATGTTCCAAGCATTGTGCTAGGGGCTGGGGAAACCGCAATACAGTGTGATGTGTAAAAATAGAGGTCGGAGAAGGTAGCCCTGAACAGGGAGGAGTTATCAGTCGCAGGGTGAGTAAGTGCCTTCGAAAGCTTTGCAAAAGAGCTTAAACTGAATTCCTTGTTTTTTTTTTTTGTTGTTGTTGTTTTGTTTTCTAAGTGGGCTAGAACTGACTCAACAGAGGGTGGGAAAGGGGAATGGAGTGAACAAAGTAAAAAGTGGTGACTTTTAGATCTTTCAACTAAACCCAAAGCAAACTGACCCAACACCCTTTGTCACGCACTTTAACACAACATTCTCCATACCCTAGATCTGAGGACTGTTAGATTATTTACAAATGCTACCTCCCTTCGTGGTCCTGATGAATTCCCAGTGAGGTCCAATCTGCCCTGGCAGGTTTCCGCTCATTTTTGTTACAAACAATACACTAAACCCAAACTACTAATCATCAAGGGCTGGAACAGGTTTTGGACATTCGTCCCCAGGCTGCTGAGAACTGTTCTAGTGATGACAGTTAGAAAGGGTAGCCCTCCGAGGCAAAAAATAATGAGACATCTAGATTTTTTCGCTCCGCATCTGGGCGCTGCAGCATCCACGGCGATAAGAAGACATCACTGGTCTCCATCTTTCGAGGGGGAAAGGCCCGCGCTGCACTAGTCCCGACTGGGTAGCTGGGTAAACAGCCCACGCTCGGCAGAGGCCTGAGGGAAAGTGACCTCCCCGGGGGCCCAGGCCGACCAGCAGCGCAGCTGCTCCGCCACCAGATGCGCGGACTCGCGCGCTCCCTCGCCGCGCCCGGGCACTCCCAAGCCCAGCCGCCCGCCTCGGCCCCGACCCCTCGGCCGCCACAACACACGCCGTTCCGCCCGCAAAATGGAGGCGAAGGCACGAGGCGCCCCCGCCCCCAGGGAGCCTTTGTGCCCTTGCCGGCGGGGACGCGAGGCCAGACGGCCCGCACCGCAAGGGCCCCGCAGGCACCGAAGGGAAGGGGCGGAGGGGGCCGGGCTGCGCGCGCGGATCTAGCCCCGGCCACCGCCCCCAGTGCCGCGGGCACCCCGGACACCAGCACCAGGGCGCGGGACGCTGCCTACCTACCGCACCGCGAACGCTTCGCAAGTCCGGAACGGCCTCAGCAGCCCCATGCGGTGGCCCCAAGCTGGGGGACCCTGACTGCAACCGCGGCCCTCCAACCGCAGCCCAAAACGCGCAGGGCGGGACCGAGCGCCAACCACGCCCTTCGGACGCCGTGACCACACCCTTCTTCCCGCCCCTTCTCCCTCCGAGGGAGAGCGTTCGGCAGTGTCGCGCAGCCAATCTCAACCCTCAGTCCGGGGCTCGACCAATACGTGGACGCTCCTGCAAGATGAGCCCGCCCCCTACTTCGTCTTGGCCTATAGGAAGCCGGGACTTCTTCAGCTGCTGTCGTCCCTCGTTTTTGGAGCTCCGACCTCAGCTTCGCCTGAGAGCCGGGTTGTGCAAGGGCGGGTCATTCTGGGGCGCTTAGGGGTGGGTGCCGGGGGACGCGCTTTCCCGCGTGAAGGTCGCGCCAGGAGTCATGCGTACATTCGTTCATTTTGCTCTGGACGTACTGATGTTTCTACGCGCCGCCGCCACGAGGTGGTCCCACCTCCTTTCGCTGTGTTTCTGTTTACATTCGCATCTGCGAGACCCGGCGGCGCGACCGAGGCCCGAACAGGTCCTGTGGGGCGAGGCGGGGAGCCAGTGCCGAGGGGAGCTCCCCAGGCCAGGTGGTTGAGGCCAGCTTCGGGGGGAGGTGGAGCTCTGGCTCGCAGACAATGGGAAGGGTGTGGAAAATGAACTGGGAGCTGCTTAGCGACTCCGAGCTGCCTGCTCTGATGGGAAATTGGTGATGGAGTCAGAGGGAAGTGGGAGGCAGCTTGTGGGAGGCCAGGGTGCACACTCTGTCCCCTGCCAGCATGAGACCTAGGAGCTTTCATATATCTCAAACTATCTGTCTATTTTGCAGAGATGGGATCTTGCTGTGTTGCCAAGGCTGGGCTTGAACTGAACTCAGACTGTCCTCCCGCCTCAGCCTCCCAGAGTGCTGGAATTACAGGCGTGAGCCACTCCATCCCGTCCCCTAGGAGCTTAATGACACTGCCCTTTAGCTTTTACTGCTCAGCAGAATCCGGAGGCGTAGAGGAACTACCACCTAGCTGGCGTGGGGAAGGGGTCCTCCCTTCTGATGGTTTTCTCTCAGCAGCACTCTCAACAATCTGGCTTCTGCTGAATATCTCCTCAATTCATAAAACAGGTGTCTGTAAATGTCAACCCCAGCTCGGTGCAGGGTACAAATTTTTTCCTGCAGAGCTCTTGTGTCCCAGGTAGTTTAGGAGACAAGGACTTGTTTGGTTTTCCCAGACCTGTCAGGACAGCTCAGAGGTTTTGTCTAACCCACGGGTCACAAACTTTTGACAACAGCAGCATCTAGCCCACAGATGGTTTTATTTGGGCATCACATAGGTTTTCTTTGTTTGTTTGCTTTTGTTTTTTTAATAAGAATTTGAATCCCACCAACACCACTGGTCCATTAAGTAACCGCCAGCCTTCACACATTTGCTGTCTACCCGAAGGGATTGGTGTTTGTGACCCTAGATCTTTTCTATACACAGAAGACCTCCAGTGGAGTCACCTAATCCCACAGCCAAGTCACCTCTGCTGAACAGAGAACTGTACAAAGTCCAAACAGGCATACATTTCCTTATGGTTTCCCAATCTATAAGAGAGGGGATAGGATGAAGGATTCCCAAGGTTCCTTTTGGTTCTGACGTTCTGTAATTTTGTGTTGTGAGCAGCTTTTGTTTTTGCCTGATGGGAAAACTTTCCTTTGGGGAATTGTCTGCAGTCCCCTGGATCAGATGGTTCTTTAGCACCACACTTCTCTGGCCTCTCGAGGCAGGATGGGTGTGGAGAAGGGGAGGTGTGGAGCCCAGGCTTGGCCAACTATAGTCTCCCTCCTCTTGTTCTCAGATTTCCCCAGGGATGTGCACATGACCAAACCTAAGATGATCTGAGCCTTTGTCAGGGATTTTAGAGAATGAGGGTGGGAGAAAGAGGCTCTTTCCTCTGGTGTTTCTGAGCATGGGAAAAATAGGCCTGGAGCTGTCTGTAGTTACACTCCTTGCACCAGCAATGCTGGAGAACCAGGTCTGGAAATGTTAGGAACCAGCTAAGCCATCCTGCTTTGGTACTTTGATTAGGGTGCATGCCCGCTCCTTTGGTGGTGACATGAATTATTTTTCAGCTCTTCTCACTCAAGATTCAAGTTTTGGGAAGGACCATTTACTAGGCCTAGTCTAGGTTATGTGCCTGTGTTCCAATTGCTAATAGGCAAATAGAGTTCTGGTTTCTCCTGTGGCTTCTAGTCAGGGAGGCCTAGCCTCATAGCAAGACTCAGTGTGTGGGGGCCTCCCCTCAAATGAGAAGAATGAGACGCTGGGTTGCCAAAAGTTGCTCCACTATAGGCCGTCTCTCAGGCTGCCCAGCGTTCACAGAAGTGCTTTCAAAGGTAAATGAAAATGCTGCCATCCAACAAAATGCGAGGATCTCTCCTACAACAGAATTTACTTATCCCTTCCCCAAAGCAGGGCATCTCAAAATCTCCTTGTTTATTGTATTTGGCCCAAGTCCAGCTTCTGTTAAGTGATGTTCCATTCTTCCTTTCAGTTTCATCATCATCCCATCCCATCGTTGCAATGTGTAAACTAAATTGTAAAGTTAAGCATCACTGATAGACTTTAGATACAATTGTGAAGAGAAAGGAAATGAAAGAAAAGGACAATAGCTAAAAACTCTCCATTTATGTATAATACAGCAAGAAGGGAAATACCGTTAGAGGTTATAATCCTCATTTTTGTAACTGGTAATGAAGCTTTATTGTCATTTACAATTTTCCTTCTCTGCTACCTATTCCAGGTCCCTCTTTCCTTCACACAACCCCTCAGCTGGCCAGGATTCTTTGCCTGGTTGGGTTAAGCAAGTTTTTGTTCTTGAGGAGGTTGTCTGTAGGTAGGTTGTAGTTTGTCTGTAGGTGGTGCAGTATGTTGCCATCAACTTGTGCCCTGGCATGAGAGTGATGAGGTGCCTCAGGAGACCTCCTGGGTTCTAGTATTGCTCCTCTTGCCTCCGTGGCGTGACAGCAACCCCACTTCCTCCTAAGCGTCGAGATCAGTCACCAAACAGCATGTGACCTGTGGCATGAGGAGACCACATCAATTTCAGTTTCCAGTTAATAGGAACCATTATTGTAGTTCTGGTGAAAGCATTGTACTAAAATATCTAAACCAGCTGGTTTGAGGAAAAGCAAAGATAAATCATCAGGTATGATTTGAGAATCATCAGGTATGATTTGAGAAGTGCCACACCCGTTGTTTCCAGCAATGATATTCTGCTGTGGAAGAAACTATTGGTCGTTGGTTCAGAGTTTTGTCTCCCAGCAGGCACTTGAACTAATTTTTTTTTTTTTTTAAATTAAAAATTTTGGCCAGCTGGTGGCTTCTTGCTTGGTGGCCGGGAGCCAGATTCCATGCTAGGCAGGAGCAAGGTGCAGCCGGTGGGAATGCAGGAGAGGCCAGTCGCTTGTTTTGAGACTTTCGAAACAGCAGCCTGGGAACCAACAGAGAAGATTCCGTCTTTCAGAGGTTGCCACTGTCTGCCAACTCACTTGTCTCCATCCTCAGTCATCTTTTAAAAATACGTAGTGACGCTCTAGCTGTCTGGTTCTTCACGGGGAATGTGAAGTCTGACATCATTCCTATTGCCATGAAATCTGAAACTCAGCGTCATTCTCACTGAAAATTGCCTTGGAGTTTGACAAACCCTTTCCCCAGTGATACTGAAAGGTTGTTTTGTTTTTGTTTTGTTTTTTTGAGATAGTGTCTCACTCTGTCACCCAGCTGGGGCTGGAGTGCAGTAGCACGATCTTGGCCTACTGCAACCTCCACCTCCCAGGTTCAGGGGATTCTCCTGCCTCATCCTCCCGAGTAGCTGGGATTACAGGCACCCACCACCATGCCTGGCTAATTTTTGTGTTTTTAGAAGAGACGGTTTCATCATGTTGGTAAGGCTGGTCTTGAACTCCTGACCTCAGGTGATCCACCTGCCTTGGTCTCCCAAATTGCTGGGATTACAGGTGTGAGCCACCACACCTGGTCAGATGCAAGTTATTTTGAGCTAAACAGAAGAGCTACCAACATCCGTATAAAGTAACTATAAGAACAAAATAAAAAAAGTTTCAACTAATGAAAATTCTTCCCACCAACCACAACTCCATCCAACAGCCAAAAAGCAGAGGAAAACTAACATAATACTTTTCATATGAAGTAAATATCATTTAGTAAGCAGCTGCAGCTATAAAGAATACCAAAAATCAGACATTAAAAAACTCAAAATAGAAGTGGACACAAAGCAGAAAGCTATAAAATGAGAACTGACTAAATTCAGGAAAGAAGTAGAAGAAAAAGCCAAAATAATCTTGAGATATGGAAACTAAATTACATTGTGTCCACGGGAAAATAGGTTAGCCTAAAAATTCAAGAAAGAACATTCATAAATTTAAAACAGCCAAGAGAACTCAAAACAAATTTGAAAAAGAAGGAAAAATATCAGAAAAAAAGAGAAGATAGACAGAAGTTAACATATGCATCACTGAAGTCTCCAAAGAAGAGAAACATGACAATGAAACAAAGCTATAACTGGAGATAGTTTTCTGGATATAAAATAAAACATGAATTTTTGGGACCAAAGGTACCTGGAGAAAAACTGACTCAGTATCATTAGCCTCAGTGAAATGCAAATCAAAACCACAATTATAGCCACTAGGATGGCTATAAAAAATGTAACAACGCGTTGATGAGGATGTGGAGAAATTGGAACTCATACTTGGCTGGTAAGACTGTCAAATGGAGGCTGGGCACAGTGGCTCATACCTGTAATTCCAACTCTGCCAGGCTAACGTGGTAGGATCGCTAGGGCCCAGTAGGTCAAGGTTACAGTGAGCTGTGATTGTACCACTGCACTCCAGCCTGAGCAACAGGGCGAGACCTTGTCTCAAAAGAAAGGAAAAAAAAAAAGTATGTCAAATAATACAGCCACTTTGGAAAGCAGTCTGGAAGTTTCTCAAAAATTAAACATAAAGTTACCATATGACCCAGCAGTTCCACTCCTATGTACATATCCAAGATAAATTAAAACATATGTTCATACAAAAACTTGGACATGATTGGTTATTGCAGCATTATTCACAAGAGCCAAAAAGTGGAAACAACCCAAATACCCATTAACTGATGAATGGGTAAGTAAAATACAGGATATCCATAATATGGAATGTTATCCGGCAGTAAAATCAATGCTACAGAATGTAGACAAACTTGCTATACAATGTGGGTGAACCATGAAAACATGCCAAGTGAAAGAAGCCAGTCACAGAAGACCACATAGATGATTCCATTCGTGTGACACATCCAGAATAGGCAAATCTATGAAGATGGTAGATTAGCAGTTACCTAGGGCTCCAGGAATTCAGGGGAATGGGAAGTGACCACTAATGGGTAACAGTTTCTTTTAGGGGTAATGAACTAAATTTGATGGTTCTAAACTTGACTGTGATGATGCTTGCACAGCTCTGTGAATAAACTAAAACCATGGAACTGTGTACTGTAAATGGGTGAACTGTATAGTAGGGAAGTTATATCTCAATAAAGCTGTTTTTTTAATAAAAGATATAGGAGTCAACTTGAAGGACTTTTTCTTTTTTTCTTTTCTTTTCTTTTCTTTTCTTTTTTTTGAGACAGAGTCTTGCTCTTTCTCCCAGGCTGGAGTGCAGTGGTACGATCTCACCTGACTGCAACCTCTGCCTCCCTGGTTCAAGTGATTCTCCTGCCTCAGCCTGCTGAATTATAGGTGCTTGCCCCCACACCCGGCTAATGTTTTTTTTTTTTCTTTCAGTAGAGACAGGGTTTTACCATGTTGACCAGGCTGGTCTCAAACTCCTGACCACAAGTGATCCACCTGCCTCAGCCTCCCAAAATGCTGGGATTACAGGCATGAGCTACCACATCCGGCCTTGAAGGACTTTTTCATTGGCCAAATTTGGGACAATCTGCAAATAAAAATTAATGTTAATTATTATTTAATTATATTTTAAGTATAATTGTATTTATATTTAAGATAATTATATACTGAAATGTATAATTAACTTCAATATAATTAGTAGGTATATAGTTAAGTATGCTTAATATATGATTATATTTAAAATGTTTATATAATCTATTAATAAGTATTAATATATAGTACTATGTAATGTTTAGCATATATAAATATATAATGTATTAAATGATGTAAAATAAATATTTGTAATCTATAATTATAATTGATTATAATATAATAATTTTTTGAAAATCATGGTCCATAGTCAATCTCAAACAAAACATAAGAAAACAGGGAGAGAAAAAGAAAAGCTCGTCTTTACAGAGTGATAGATGTAAGAGGAATGTTAGATTAGACAATTACCCTTTTGGAAACTCAAATGTAATAATTAACCAAGATAAGGATTACTAATGGATGCTAAAACTATTGGGAAAAAAGTTTCTGGGAACAAGGTATTCACACAGACTCCCAAGTATTGCCCCACTGATTATTTACTAATTACAAAAGGGAAATTATGCATTTATGATGGAAAGACTGAGCAGTTACCACCATAACCAAGTGATCAAACATCACCAATAATGGGACTACTAGATATGTGCCTCCTAAGTAGAATTCTTTCCAAAAATATTTAACCTAACTTCCTGCTTACAGGAAATACAGTAGATACTGGTATAAGATGAACACCATTAGGAAGTAATCATCTCCAGAATATGGGATATTATGTAGCTGCACCAGACCAATTTGGTTCAACTTTTATGTAACAAAGTTATGAGTTGTTTTTCAGTTGCTAATGGAGCCTCAGGTCATGTAACCTGAGCAGGCCCAGATTAACCAAGTGTGTAGCCACAGGGCGGAACCTAAGTGCTCAGAGGAGCAGGGACTGAATTAGGAAGCTGACACTGCATGGCTGGATCTATGATGCAATCAGATTGAGCTCTGGCATCACTCCTTAGCAGGATCCAGTGAGATCATGCCTCTTGGCATTACCTCATTGCAAGATGCAGTCAGATCATGCCTCATTACCCTATGCTTATAAAATCTGACACAGCCCTGGAGCTCAGGAAGGCATTGCTTTGGGAGCTATCTATACCCATTGTTCTCTTTACTAGTTGTAAGTAATAAAATCCCCTTGTTAAATCCTGCTTGGTTGTGGCCATTGGGTTGTCACTTACCAAGTGACCTAGCCCACCTGTTGTGTGGGCAACAGTTATACAAAACAGTTGGCCTGAACTCTTCAAAAATGTCAACAGTATGAAAAACAATACCCAGAAATAAATATATTGGAAAGAATGGTTCTAGATTAAAAGAGACTAAATAGACAATAACCAAAAACAATACAGGAAACTTGAGTGGATACTGGAGCAGGAAAAAAAGAGCTATAAAAGGTATTTGGGGAATAATTGGAGAGAGTTGAATTTGGGCTGATATTAGATGATGATATAGCACAATTGTTAAATTTGGGGGGAGGTGATGGCATTGTGGTTACGTAGAAAAATGTTTTTATTCTTAGGAGATACATGCTGAAGTAATTAGAGGGGAACTGTTATAATGTCTTTATATTAGTCTGTTTTCACACTGCTGATAAAGACATACCTAAGATTGGGCAATTTACAAAAGAAAGAAGTTTAATGGACTTACAGTTCCACATGGCTGGGGAGGCCTCACGATCATGGTGAAAGGTGAAAGGCATGTCTCACATGGCGGCAGACAAGAGGAGAGAACTTGTGCAGGGAAACTCCCCTCTTTAAAAACATCAGATCTTGTGAGACGTATTCACTACCACAAGAACAGCATGGGAAAAACCTGCCCCCATGATTCAATTACCTCCCACCAGGTTCTTCCCACAACATGTGGGAATTCAAGATGAGATTTGAGTGGGGACGCAGTCAAACCATATCAATCTTTAACTTAATTTTGGTTGTTTAACAAACAAAACTGTATATCTGTATTTGTAGCTATCTATCTAAAGGGGAGCACATGCAAATGTGATAAAATGTTAGTAATTGATGAATCTGTGGTTGACAGACTCTAAGGTGGCACTCGGTGAATTCTGACCTTCCCTCCTGGAATTCACACCTTGTGTAATCCCTTTCCCTTGAGTAGGGGCTGGATTTAGAGACTGGCTTCTAGCAAATAGCATGTGGGAGGTTCCTTCCAAAATTGAATTCTCTCTCCTTCAATTGCTCAGATGGAAATGGGCTGCCATGTTGTGAGCTGCCTCATGGGGAAGAGGCTCACATGTGAGCAACTGAGGGAGGCCTCCAGAAAACAGCCAGTGAAGAACTGAGACCCTCAGTCCAACAGCCTGTGAGGAACTGAAACCTGCTGACAACCATATGAATGAGCTTGGAAGCAGGTCCTTCCCCAGTGAAGCCTTCATGTGAGACTGCAGCCCATTTGACACTTTGATTTGTAGCCTTGTGACAGACCCCAAGCCAGAGGAGCCAGGTAAGCAGTGCCTGCACTCCTGACCCATGGCAACTGTGGTGTGATGAATGTTTCTTCCCATGAAGCTATGTTTTAGAGTAATTTGTTTTGCAGCAACAGATAACTAATTCACTAGGTAAAGGGTATATCCATTGTAATCTTTCAACTTTTCTGTAGATCTGCAGTTTTATGTGCTGACAGGTGAACACACTGCTGTTGGCACCATAGCCACTGCATACTACATGCTGTCAGGCTAACATTTGATGCTGCAGCAGTAAGTTATTTCTCAACTGACCCTGAGTCTCCGGTTCACTAGCAGGATCATGTACCCAAGCTCCAGCTTCCAAGGTGTGAGGTCAGAAAGTACCTGACCCTCACAGCTTCCATAGTGAGAATTGTGGCCCTGTCTCTCAAATAGGGAAGTATTCAGACACTGGGTAGATGGAAAAAAAAAAACCAAAAAGGGGCGGGGATGGATAAGAAAAGAAAAAGAAGGAAAAGAGGGAGGAGAAAGTGAAAAGAAGAGAAACATCTGCTATACTTTCTTCTACTCCTCCCAACTGCCCAGAGTGCTCCCCTGCTGTAGGAGAGAATCATATCAGCAGAGTTCCTGATGATCTAGTTTACATGCTTGGAGACTCATTAGGGTAGCTCAGCTACTAACTCTTTCTGTTTCCGTTTTTACTCTCCTGCCAGTAACAACCCCCTCTGTCTGTGTCTCTTTAAAGCCCCAAGAGAGATGATCTGATGGCTTGGCTGGTCACTGTTTAACAGAGGGTGTTCTTGTTGATCTGGATTTTCACTCCAGGCTACTTCAGAAGGTCTGGATTGACCAATAGCTTAGATGCCCTTGGGACCAGTCTCCATCCAATCCATTTATTTGCCTGCAGGGTGGTAACAAACAGAGCAACTTCCACAAAGGAGCCCCTAAGTCCCCTAAGTCATGGACTTGTACAGGCATTTTGAGGCTTTTATAAGGGGGCAGTGTTAGAAATGCTTGTTCCCCAATGCTGCAAAGAAATAGCACTCGAGTTGGAGAGAAGTAAAAACTTGAACCGGCCTGGGAAGGACCTTACCTAGTGCTCCTAACTACTGAAACTGCAGTCTGGGCAGCAGAAAAAGAATGGAGCCATCACACCAGAGTCAGGAAAGTGCCACTCCCTCCAGAGTCATGGGCCATGGTCCCGGGGGAAAACCCTACCAAACTAAAGCTGAGAAAAATTTAACTCTCTTTTATCTATTTGATTACTCCTTCCTCTTTTCTCACTGTATTGCTGACCACCTAGTTATTAATGTAACCAAGTCGATTTCACCTCAAACTATTACATTTGATGCTTGCCTTGTCATACCCTGTGGAGACTTGCCAAGTCAGAGGCAACTCTCCACTTCAGAAAAGTAGCTTTATCCTTCCTAGCTCTTTTCAGACTAAAAATCTGTTAACTGGGATAAATTAATTTGAGAAGAGTTTGACGAAGATTCCAGTGTAAACTGGAAATCTTGTCCTCCTAGAGCAGATCTTCTCTGCCAAAGTCGGTCCAATACTGTATAAAATATTAAAGAACAAGGATGGGCTGCCCCAACTAGTACTTGCAGTTTCTTAAAACCATATATTCATTTGACTAAAGGAGTTACCCCTGCCCATTGTCAGGTAGACCAATGTAATTGAGACAGATTACCATCTCTGCTCCCTAGAGTTCCACGGCATAGGAGCAGAAGTCTCAGGATGCTTTGAAATGCTGTTCATTGCCTCGCCACCTCCTGCACCCCCTTCTCCCTCTCCTAACTTCTCTGCTAACCAAACCTTTTCATGTTATCTACCCAATGATAAAACCAAAGTAGTTGTTGTAGAGGTTAAATATTTAAAGCAAACTATAGCAATTGAAACGGTATCAGGACGCAAATGCTTGGCTGGAATGGATTAAATATTCTGTTCACACACTAAACAAAGCGACGTTAGGCTTGTGCGACAGGCAGACCAGAGACCCAGATTGTCCCCTTTCCAGTTGGGTGGTCTTCTCGTGGACCGGGCATGAACTGTACGGTAGCTCTCTTCTTCCAGAACCCCACAGCCTGGGGCGATGAGTCATGCAAGACTCTTTCACTGCTGTTCCCTGAGGTTAAGAGCCCTGTGGGTCAGCCCTCGAGGGCCATGCGGCCCCTGATGTTAACTTCACCTTCACCTTGTGCCTTTCACTGCTGAGGGCGGGTGGCGGGGTGGGAGCGGGGGAGAGTTAGCATTCCTTGAAGACTTAACAGGGTGCAGTGAAACCAAGCCTTTTGAAGAGCTTACCAATCAGTCTGCCCTGGTTCATCTCCAAGCAGATGTGTGGTGGTATTGCATAGGACTATTGCTGGGTACTCTGCTCTGCCAAGTAATTAGAGCAGCACTTGTGCCCTAGTCCAATTGGTCATCCCTTTTACCCTAGCAATCTGTCAACACAGAGAAAAAAAAAAAAGAAAAACGTTAAAAAAAAGAAGTGCCTCACATGGGTCCTTTGACCCCCATGTTTATATAAACGCTATTAGAGCTCCATGAGGAGTACCAGATGAATTTAAAGCCCAAGATCAAATAGCTGCAGGATTTAAGTCAATATTTTGATGGGTGACAATTAATTAGAACATAGATTAGATAAATTACATTTATTACAATCAACAGTGGTTTATTAACTACATTAGAGATGCTGTTAAAGGAATAGCTGAGCAGTTAGGGGCTACTAGCCAGATGGCTTGGGAAAATAGAATAGGCTTAGACATGATATTAGCAGAAAGAGGAGGAGTTTGCATCATGATTAAAACTCAAGGTTGTACCTTCGTCCCAAACAACATCACCCCTGATGGAAGTATAACAAAGGCATTGCAAAGTCTAACTTCTCTGTCCAGTGAGTTAGCCAAAAACCCAGGGGTAAATGACCCCTTTACAAGGTGGCTAGAAAAATGGTTTGGTAAATGGAAAGGAATCATAGCCTCAATTCTTACTTATCTTGCAGCCATAGTAGCTATACACTTTCTTTCTTTCTTTCTTTCTTTCTTTTTTTTTTCTGAATTGGAGTTTTTGCTGTCTCCCAGGCTGGAGTGTAGTGACGCGATCTCGGCTTACTGCAAACTCCACTTCCCAGGTTCACACCATTCTCCTGCCTCAGCCTCCCGAGTGGCTGGGACTACAGGCGCCCACCACCACACCCGGCTAATTTTTTGTATTTTTAGTAGAGACGGGGTTTCACCGTGTTAGCCAGGATGCTCTCGATCTCCTGACCTCGTGATCTGCCCACCTCGGCCTCCCAAAGTGCTGGGATTACAGGCGTGAGCCACCATGCTTGGCCAGTGTACGCTTTCTTGTTGGGTGTTGTGTCATACCATGCATCCATGGGCTGGTGTACAGACTCACAGAGGCAGCACTTACTAAAACCTCCCTTAATTCTCCTCTACCTTATTCAGAGAAGCTTTTTCTTTTAGAGAATCAAGCAGAACAACTAAGCCAAGACATGTTAAGGAAGTTTGAAGAGAAAGAACTGTAAAGTTTCAAGATGGGGGATTGTTAAATATAGTGAACCCCAAGTTTCTCTTCAAAGAATCAGTATGTCAGTATGTTCAGCTCTCTTATTCTTTGATTCTCCATTTTAAAGTTTAACTTCCTGGTGCTCTTCACCCCTTTGCTTCTGGTTTCAGTAAACAACTTTCCCACCAGTCCTAATCAGTAGTTCACATCTGTTCCCCTGGTCACCTGCTCCATCCTGACTCCTCCCAGTCACCTGCTTTGACCTGAGTCACCCCTGGTCACCTGCTCTGACCTAAGTCACCTTCAGTTACCTGTTCCTAACCGTCTTTCCTGCCACACTACTCACCCTGCTACTCTGGCTCATACCCCTGCTCTCTTTAAAATAGCCAGTTGGAATTAGCTTAGACTGTGTGGTCCAACCCTAGCCAATAGGGGAACAACACAGCAGTAGGGGCTACCTGCCTCAGGAATAAGAACTCCTTCCCCTTCCCTGTCCAGGTGTGCTCTTGCCATTACTCCATTTGCTAATTGCACCCTTCTATAGAAGTAAAAATTGCCTTACTGAGAAAATTAAATTTATGTTCTAGTGCTATTTCTTCGTGGCACCAGGGAACAAGCGTTTCTAACAGCACTGTAGAGGAAAGAACTTTGCTGAGACCTTACCCTCCTGTTTCATTAATGGAATGAGACATGTGTAGAGGAAGCTGACTTGGAGTAAAGACAATGAGTTGATTTGGGGCATGAAAGTGAAAGTGAGATTCCCAGGTGGTGCTGCCTTTTGTCTTTTTTTTTTTTTAAATTTTTAATGTTTTGAGATGGAGTCTTGCTCTGTCGCCGAGGCTGGAGAGCAGTGGCACGATCTCGGCTCACTGCAACCTCTGCCTACAGGGTTCAAGCGATTCTCCTGCCTCAGCCTCCTGAGTAGCTGAGACTACAGGCTAGCACCACCACACCCAGCTAATTTTTTGTATTTTTAGTAGAGACTGTATTTCACTGTGTTAGCCAGGATGGTCTCCATCTCCGGACCTTGTGATCTGCCCACCGTGGCCTCCCAAAGTGCTGGGATTACAGGCATGAGCCACCACACCCCGCCCTGCCTTTTGTTTTGTTGGAGGCATGGAGCTCAAGTTAGGAAGTCATGGATGGAGATGAAGATGGGATGGTTGATCATATAGATGTAATGCTTAAAGCTACAGACAGGGAGGAGATTTCCATAGGCATGGAAGAGAATGTAAAGCTGGAAAAGCCAAGGGCAGTTGCTGTAACACTATTCCTTCAACCATTTTCACCAGAACTTTGGAAATTTGCATCTGGAATGAGTAGGTGAAGTGAATTAGTTTTGCCAACTGTATGGTTCAGGCTACATCGACATCTATGTACAACCCACAGACTTCATGTCCAACATTTACATCTTATGACATTGTCTCATTGTTAAGCATCTTGAGGTAGGATAACTTTTTGAGCTACAAATGTGGAATTTCCCCTTGTATTTCCCCGCTTTTCCTCCTCAGGCAGGCTTTGTTTT